AAAAAAAAAGAGTCAAAACAAAACGAAAAAAATTCACCAACTAAGGATTGTTCACTTATTGAAAAAGTTACTGTGGAAGAAATTATACCAAAATCTGATACTCAAATGTCAAATGTACAATCAGAAATTACTTGTGTTAAATTTAATATTCAATCAGTTTCAGTTCAAAATAATACTTCTATTACATTGTCAGATGGATTAACAATAACAAGGAAAAGACTAAGTAAATCTAGTACAACTAATGATTTTAAGAAATTAAAAGACAGAGAGATCCTCAAACAATCTCAGCCAATAGATATCCCTTCGATTGAAACTATTATCATCCCTCGACATAAAGTTATTAATTCATTGAAAAAAGAAAATGAAGAAAATGGAAATGCATATCAAATTAAACCATTAATTAATGAATTTCCAAAATTACAATGGTTTTTCTTATTAAATTGTACCTCTCCTAAACAAGAACGATTAACAAAAAATCGTCTTTTATCAATAGGAGAAGATTTAAATTATATCAATAAAAAATATGTAACAATTGATATTACTGAAAATAAAATTGGATATATTCGTACATTATTAAAATATTTCTTTGATAAATTTGATAGAACTGGTGCTGGAACATTTTTAAGAAAAGAAGATTTTAATTTTTTTGAACAAAGTGCATCTATTAATGGAGCTACATCATTACTTAATACAATTCATTTATTTACATCATTAGAAGTACCTATTGATTATAATATTTTTGAACAAATATTATTTAATTATTGGTCATTTATTCTTTATGATGATACTGATGATTCTTTAATATCATTAATTAAAGTCATTGCTGATGGAATTACAGATGAAGAACATGGAGAAATATTAGGAATATTTACAACAGATGGAATTAGTGCATTAATAAGAATGGATATAAATCAATTACCAATACGTTCAATTTTTAATTGTTTTCATAGAACAAGCGTTGATTATTTTACTGTTAATGAATTTATTTATTGTTCCCTTCATCTTAAATATTTCCAAACATATTTAAATGAAGCAAATAAATTATTTGAAGACAAAGAATATGCTAAAATGGTTGCATTATTTAATTTAGTTTTTAATGCTTTTAATATAGAAGGAAAAGGAATTGATTTCTCTATGACAAAAACATTTGTATCAAAAATTGACAAAAACAGTAAACCATTCTATAAAAATTTAAAGACTCTTTTTAGTAAATTAGATGATGATAAAGATGGATTTCTTAGCTTTAATGGATTTATTAAAATATTTGAAAAAGCAATGATCTTCAATTTTAAAAAAGATATTCCAATTCCACATTTTGAATTTAAATATTCTTCTATTCATTATAAACAACTACTTATTGATCTTCTCAAAGAAAAAGAAAAAGCAAAAAAAGATCGTGAATTAATGGGAGTTTATAAAGGACATTCAAATGTTTCTTCTCCTAGTTTACTTAAACTTACTTTTAATTCTGGTGAAACTTTTAAACTAAAAGTAAATAACTCTTCTAATTTATCAGACTCGGTTCCTGTAAATTTGGCTCTTATTGGTTCAACTTCTTCTTCCTCTTTATCAGAAGAAAAGTTAGTAAAGAAATTATCTAAAAAGAAGAAAAAACAATCTTGTATTATTTGTTAACAAAGGCTATAACTTAATTGTATTTATTCACTTCATCTTTTGTTATACTCTCTTTTTATTACACCAACTTCTAAACACTGTTTTTTGTTTAATAATAAATGTTTAAATTAATTCTTCTTAATAACCATTAAATTATTTCATTTTTTTTCTTTTAGAATAGAAATAATACTTCTTGAAATGATTTAAAAATCAAAAACAATGATAGGTGTTGTTGTATTTTTCATCACTTATATATAAATTTAATACTACCACCTTTTGGATTGATAATGAAATCTGCAAAGAGAGAAAATTGATTTTAAAAGAATAAGAAAGTTATAACTCGGATAACTTAATAGTATTTTATAATACTTTTAGAATTTTTATTTATTTGTTGCTATTTAAGTATAACATTACTTTTTAAGATTATTTGTGTTATTCTCATTAAATTATTATTTTTTATTATTATGTTAATAGATAAATAAATCGAAAAAAATATGATACAGAAAATTTAAACTTTTCTTTTACATTTAAAAACAAAAAAAAAA